AAAGAAAGCTCCAGCCGATCCAGGAGAGAAGGACAACCGCTGCCCAAGCAAAAACCTGTAGTGATCCCGTACGTGTCAGGAGTATCGGAGCAGCTGAGACGCATTTTTTCTAAACACCGGGTCTCTGTGGCTTTTAAACCCCAAAACACGCTGCGCCAAAAACTGGTCCACCCCAAGGATCGGGTCCCCGACACAAACAGAGTAACAGAGTGTACGCTGGTAAGTGCAGGAGGATTACCAGGATTTATACGTTGGGGAAACCAAACAACCTCTGGCTAAGAGGACGGCACAACCCAGAAGAGCCACCTCGTCAGGCCAGGACTCTGCAGTCTATTCACACCTACAGGCCACTGGACACTCTTTCAATGATGAGGATGTAACATCCTGGACAGGGAGGAACGCTGGTTTGAGGGCGGAGTCAAGGAGGCCATTTACGTGAAAAGGGAAAGACCATCTCTGAATTGAGGAGGGGCCTAAGGGTCCATCTGTCACCATCTTACATGCTGTGATTGCAGCCATTCCCCAACTCTCTGTGAATGGGACTCATTTGCATAATTATGATGAAGGAACTGACCTCCCAGCCCATTGTTCCTTCAGTGGGCTGGTTTCAGTCATTATGCAAATGTCCTGTTGATAAGATTGAGACCTGCAGTCAGCTGAGTCTGAAGACGTCACCTGGATGAGTGACAAAACGTTTCTCCCGCTGAAAACGTCCAGATGAACAGAATCAACTTTTGGAGATTTACTTACTTGGCTGATTGAGCATCAAGACGTTTCATCATGACAACTCTAAACCAATACAATCCTTTTGCTCCACCTCTCGTCATTCCCCACGGAGCTTCGACAGGACTGCTGACCACAGTGTTTTAGCCGGCCTGCCCAGGGCGGCTAACACTGTTGTTCAGTCTGACACCACCGATGTCATTCAAGGCTATCCATATCTCGCCTTTATACCTCATTGACCTGGTTCAGATCACCATCCCTTCCCCCCAGCTAGCCACCGTGGCTTTCTGCTGCTCTGCCCCCCGTCTTTCGAACTCTCTTCCTTCTGAGATAAGAAACATCACTTCCCTCCCTCTTTTTAAGTCCAGACTCAAAACTCACCTGTTCACATTAGTCTATTCCACATACATTTTTCCATCCTGATACTTTCATTTATTTGCTCAACGTTTTATCCTTATTATTTTGTAAATTGTTATGTTTGTTGTTGTTATTGATTGTGTACAGTGTCCTTGAGTGTTTTGAAAGGCGATTTATTAAATAAATTGTATTATTATTATTATCATTATTATTAGAAGAGATGTAAGATTTGTTTGATATGTAAGTACAAAACTCTTTGTCCAGCATCATATTTCCCAAATCCGTCCAGCGGGACAGATCGGAGTCTTTGTCGGACCAATTCTGGCCCCGAACCTAATGTTTGACATCCCTGATCATAACGTTTGTTTTCAGCAGCATCAAAGCACAGGGCAAACTTCATAACGTGTAACAAACCTTTTGGGTTATAGCACCACTAGGGGGGGTTGCCCAACTATTGTAGTAGCTATGGGGGTCTCCTAGTGGGTGTGTGAGTTGTTAGCGGCAGCCATTCCATGCTGCTCATGTTCCATGCTCCAAGAAAACACCTTACTTACTGTTGTGACAAGCTGGCGCTGGCGGTACGAATCCCCGCACGTGTAGGTTCGGACGAGTACAGCCGAGGAGACCTGGCTTATAAAGTGTAATGTTGCTGACGGCGAATAAAGGTCTGTTATTGGATTTAACCGACTGGCTCCGTGTTATCCGGCTAACCTCCACACCACATGCCCGCTGGACCGGCTAGCCGCTCCTTCCTCGCCAGACTGCTGTTACAAACGCTGATACGTTTTTCTTCATTTTAAATGCTTATAGACACAAACTCACTCACTGCACACTTTAACACACAGACACACACACATGCACAAACACACACACAGCAAAATGACCTGATCCAGAAGAAAAGACTGTCAGAACTCTTTTTGCCTCCTATTATTGTCAGAAAGCTTTCAGGAAGGCTGTACAGAAGCATGACGGACCCGACCACAGCCGCCCTCCTCTGGGAACAGGAACCTGCCGGCCACTACCTGCTCCCACTGGAGGAGTGGGTATGGGTGCACAGGTAGGCAGTGTCGATGCAGGCCTCACCGTAGAGACCGGCCACTTCCATGGGGAGCTGACAGACTTTCTATTAGCTGCATCCGGTGCTTAGACCGGTCCTGCAGCTGGTCCCACTGGCTGGCCCCGTGTTGGTTCCACCACGCCACACTCCTGGCTATCAGCACCACTGTAGATGCATGTTGGACCCAACCACATTGTAACACATTCAGAATACATGTCTTTATTTCCAGTTGCTGTACACTCCAACGCACTTGGCTGCAGCCTTGCAGCTGCCAGCCACACTTCAACAACAACAACAACAGGACCCAGTACAGTCCCTCGGGAAAGACCAAAGAGCTGTCATGTTATTTTGTCTTATTCAAATAAAACATACACTAAAATTAGAGACTGTTCGTTTCTTTGGAAGTGAACAAACTTACAAATTTAGCAGGAGGAAGTGAATTTTTCCCTCACTGTAATATCTGAATTCCCCCTCGCTCTGAGTTCACGAACTCCTTAAAGCATCGTTTTAATTTCTCTGCTCCATCACCAAGCAACACTGACCAACCACAGTCCAGTTAACCAGTTAGACCCTGGCTTTGGTTCAGTCTGATGACACGGTGCCCCCCTCCCCAACCCGTGCTGAACCCGTCTTCTCATTCTAGAGAAGCCTTCAAACTGCTGCAAGGCAAACAAGTCACCTCAGACTGACTTAAACATGCAGAGAATAAGGCACCTTTTCTTTTTTAAATTAAACACACAAAGTTGACGTACCAGTCTGTTCACATTGTTTGCATGAAGGAGTGGCTGCAACACTTCCTCTTATAGGGAGCGACTGAAACAGAAGCACAGCAGTTTCTACACTGTGTGATTAACTCGTGCAGTTCATGTAAACTTGAATTTAAGAACAACAGAAAATATTAGAGGAGCTACGTCAGCTTTACCCATCAAAGAGGACAGACTTACTGCAGCAGGTAGGCAGAGTCCCTCTTGTTCTTGCTCTTTAACAGCTTGTACTACAGACGGTTGGAGGAACAGCAAACTTTTATTAATACAGAGTTTTGTCTCTCAGGTTTTTATTTACAAAAGAAAGAACTTCAAGTCAGGCAGTAATAGAGCAACAAAACGTTGACAGGAAACCCACAGAGGGAGCATTACCACCAACCTGGCATCCCAACATACACACACACACACCTAAGCTGCTTTTTCAGTGATTTAGTTATTGAACCTAAAGATCTAAAGTATTCTTTGACATTTTCAAGTGAAAAAAATAATCTGTTGGTGAAATCTGACAAATGTAATTACGGGTTAATAACAGCCTTATAACAACACCTACACCTCTTTCAGAGCGCTGACAGGTTTAATGAAAGAGAAATGAAGCAGATCAGAGTCGACATCTGTCTCATAGCTGGAGATGGTGTCTGACCACAAAATCCCAGCAGTCGAAGTTTTGCATCAGGCCCGCCCTGAGAGGGCGGAGCAAGCGTGATGTAAACGTAGTGGCAGAAACGTCATAGGCATCAAGTGTGGCCAGGCAGGCAGCCGTGTTGAGACAAACCAGTGGGTTTTCGTTCACGATGGCAAAGAAAAGCTTTTATTTCTTCTTTGGTAGGTCTGATTTTGACTTTATTGCACTTTTACTTTCATAAATCCGTCAGCGTGAAGCAGTGAGGTGATAATTCAGCCATTCTGCTTGCGACCTTTCAGTGGCCTGGAGCTAGCTGCTGCTAACAGGCTGTAGCTTAAAAAAACGTGGTTATTAATAATTATTTATTTATTATTAAATAATTAAATTATAACTTTGTTTGGTTGGTTGTTCTGTGTGTCAGTACGAGAGGAAGCTGTGACGTTTCCACAGCACTATGCTGTGTGTGATAGTGGGAACTACAGATGTATTAAAGCGCGGCGCCTGCTTCTTAAAGATACAGTTAACCAATCAAACAAACATTCATTCATTTTTTGTTCAATGAAATTTATTGAATGTGACAAACTGCTCACACTGTGATCTATTACGTTTGTTAGAGTTAATAAAATCATGAAAATGAAATAATCATAAAACACGTTACTGATATACTGCAGTTCTCCGTGTACTGCTGTTCATTATACTATGATTTCTGAATCTTTCCACAAAATTGTTAAATGAAAACTATTATTCATGGCTGTTACCATGTTATGAACAGGTTTGTTGTGTTGTACATGGGTGTAACTTTGTGCTGAGCATTGGGTGGGGGGTAAGATGTCTGTCTAAATAAATAAATAAATCTGGGTAAATTCCCGGATGATTAAACATGCAACTATTTTGATGATAATAACTGAAATGAGTAAATAAATTCAATAGCCTACTCATGCAAGATAATTCATAATTTTATTGGGGGGGGGGGTATTGGCTGGGTCTGATTATTGGAAATTACACCCCTGTGTTGTTACACGTACATTAGTGCACCATTACTAACTGGTGTTGCCTCATAAGTATTTGTGCACACATCATTACCTTCAGTTTCTGGTTTTTATCCAGTTACAAAGATGTCAACAGAACATGCTCATCTGAGCTCGCTGGTCATACAGTGTCTTACTGGGTTGGTGCTTTAGAAATTAACGTATTGTTTCCACATCGTTAGCGCCTTGTTGCCTCTGTATTGTCCCACTATTACCACGTTTGTTTTGAAAACTTTGTTATAATTTTCATTAATAGTTGGACGGCTGACAGGTTGCATGATTTCAGACTGCCAAAGGAGCGACTATGATGAATGGCGGTTATGGTTTCCTGTTCGTTCTGACTGAACCTTTGTCTGTTTCGTTGCAGCTCTCTATGGGTTCCCACTGGTGGCAGCTTCCTCTGAAACTAATGGAACCAGAGGAGAGCCATTACTCTGGCAGTGCACACTCAGCAAACAGTTTGATCCACAGAAAGTCAGCATTTATTGGCAGAACCAAAACAATACTGAAATGCTCCACTATTACAGGAATGGAAAGGAGGATTTGGAACATCAAAGCTTGCCATTTAAAAACAGAACCAAAATCTTTCCTGATCAGTTACGATCTGGAAACTTGTCCCTTATCATCGATCCGCTGATGCATGAAGACAACCTGAAGTCCCTTAAAGTCGTTTTCAACCACGCAAGAGAAATCAAGGACAAACTCTGCCAAACCATGGTTCATGTAGCAGGTTGGTATCTGCGTCATTTTACAGCACATCAAACTTGTTATCTTATATATGTCATTAATACATATTTACAATATTTACAGCTAATTTTAAGGAGCCAAACATCGAGATCAACCAAAAGAAGATGACAGCAACTTGCATAACACAGGGGGGCTTTCCTGAACCTGAACTGGCATGGATTTCCACCGACCACGAAGGACATGAACGTGCACTGGAACCACCTGATGTTCTGACCCTGCAGATCCACAAGGAGGAAGACGGCACCTACAGCGTCATCAGCACAGCCAACATCACGGGGTCAAAGACGGTGACCTGCAACGTTTACAACCCAACTTCTAACAAGACTGTGGGAGCAACTGCAGCCCTGCCTGCAGGTACACAGAGGGTTACATCACCATTAATCAGCATCCAGCTGACAACTTGCATTGCTGAAATGAGCAGAGCTGCTGATCAGCTGCAGTTTTATTTGTTGTCCATTACTGTCACATCACAGCTAACTTACTTACACACCAAATAAACTGAAGCTACTATTTATGACTTTACATTTATACTACATTTCCACTACATTCATGATCCATGCAGTCACAATAACTTTGTGCATCACCCACAAATGCAACATAATCTGCTTATTTACAGTTGAAGGTCTGCCTGTGGCTGAAACGGCTGGGATTGGAGTATTTATAGTAGCCATCGTACTTGTAGTACTGATAGTACTCGCAGCCTTTGGCTACAAGAAATGTAAGTAAGCTTCTGAATGTTGTTCTTTTACAGTTTTAGCAGATACAATTATCTGATTTCGTGTCGAACAATAATTATGGACAGCTGATATTAATATGTAAACATCAAAATTTTAATTTATTACAAAAACTGTTGCGCACACGTTAGCCAGAGTGCTCTTAGTGTCACAGCAGCATCATTAACACTGAACAAAAGTTGGCGAGCGCCCCCTGCTGTCCTGGTTTGTGACTGACACATTTTTCTTTTGCTCTAGATCACCAACAGAGACAACGGAGGCCAGACAGCCCTGAGCCGTCAGCTGCTTATCTTTCCAACGGTGCTTTGCTAGCAGAGAATGGAGGTGTGTGCTAGTGCTGTACAGGAAGGTGGCGCTGCACACGGGCTGACCAGTACTGGCAGGACTTTGTCGGGGATACGTGTGTTAAACCAAACACTGCTGCTCTGCTGTACCTCAATGCAGGAACGTTGTCCTTCCATTCAGGGGCAGACAGCCAAAGAGAAAGCTCAGGAGAAGCACAGCTCTGAGGTCAGCTCTTCTGCCATCGAGGCAGGATGACCACAGATGAAGCCTGCATTAAGATTCAGAGTGAGACCAAGACTCTAAAGACCAGCTTCATCTCTGTGGCATTATTTAATTTAGAACTTCACATGATGGGCTGTACCTCGTTATGCTCAGTATTTGTAATTCTTGCTTGAAACAGATTTCTGAGCTTTAACATTTCTCCCTCTGTGAAGATAAACTGAAGGATCTTGTTACTGTACTTACGTAGAAGGTATCTGGACTTCAGTATTTTCTGACAACTTTTTACTGCCTACATGTTAACACTACTTTCTACTCCTTGACTTTTCAAAACAGACTCATTACTTTTGGTTCAACGGTATCATTTATAGTGTTTATACTCTGGGTTAAAGCGGGCGTACGTATGTCGTCAGCTTCTAGTTTCTACAGAAGAGGAAAGAGCATCAAGGATGTTTCTCCAACGTTTCTATCGGCTCAACAAACATCAGCAAACACACAGTGTGTCTCACAGTGTGTCTCACAGTGTGTCTCACAGTGTGTCTCACAGTGTGTGCTAAAGCTAAAGGTGAGAGCTACGTTCACTCAGAGATGGAGAAAGATCAGAAAGACGGACAGGAGAGGAAGAGCTTAGACTTAATGTTTATATCCTTAACCATACTATGCAGTTACAACCTATAATTATCTGAGCTTAGTCCACAACAACATCGGCACGTTTAAAGTGAAATATTCTTTTACTCTCTTCACCTTAAAAACTATCCTAAAATATGATGACAGCATCCATCTCATCCTAGAACGACTAAACAGCCGATTCATGAACAAAATAACTGACAGACATCAAAATGTGAAGATTTGTATTTCCCTTGAAGTCACTTTGTCCTCATGTAAACGCGTTCATGCACATTCACGTGTTTTCTTCCTACAGGACACCTGACCAACAAACATGTAATAGTATTTGTACAGTAACAGTATCCAGAGTACTTTAGGTTCGAATCACTGCTGCGGTTGTTTGGCTCAGCCAAACACGCGTGGTTCACATCCATGTGTGTCCACTCATGAGAAGGACACACATGTAGTCCTGCATTCACTTCATCAATGAATCCGAGTGAACGTTTGTCCTGCATTAACTCTGTGGGGTCTTCACCTTACAGTAACACGTGTGTTTGTTCACTGATGCTATATGAATAAAAGGGAACTACAGGTGTTCCTGAAACGTGTCTTTGTTAGAACAGGGCGGATGGATGAGCACAGCCCTCTCAGCGCAGGGCTGACACCACTTTGCCCCTTATAAGAAATACAACACAAATTTATTAGGACAGGTTACTAAACCAGGCTTACAGGTAAAAGGTGTTTCATTTAGTAAAAGCTGATGATCCACTTCTCAAATAATCTCTAAGGATCTGAAGGAAGACATGCAAATATCTCTGCTCATTATTAGGCTAAAAGTGTGATATAGACAATTATATATTTTAGCAGCATCCCCATAAGGCATATCACAGCCCTGCACACCAGCACAGCGCTTATATTATGCTTCAATCAAGATATAGTTATGATTTAACCACATTAGCTCAACGAGGTCACAAAAATATCCCACAATACCAGAAATGACACGCTCAGCACTACATAACCCACATGGAAAAGAAACAGTAAAAACTTACATGATTTACTCATGAAAGTGGCCACTTTCTCATTACTTTCATTTATTGTTTTAGTATCCAAAACACACAAGTTTCATTTATATAATTTTTCAAGGGGTCTTATATCTGTTTTCACTCTTGTATGCTTTTCATACAAGTTTCACACAGGACAGATACAAACTTTATAAGAGTTATATTTATCTTTTCCATGTGGGTAAACTTTCAACAAAAGTTGGACTTCAGTCTGTTAACCACCAAATTAGTCTATCCTGGTCAGCTAGCTAAAAGTCTGTACTTTAGCAGCCTAAATCAGAGGCTAACATTAGCATTTGCTAGCACCAGCCAGGATAGTCTGAGGCTAAAACGAGAGTTTGTGTAACTTTGCCTGAAACCCTTTAAAGTGTACAGTAAAAGCAACCGTGGAGCATAAGTATTATTATGGAAGTTATTATAGTCCTAAAATTATTTCTTCCTCTCTATACATCAGTAGAACCATGAAGTTTTCACTTTTCCCAGTTATGGGGCGACCGTGGCTCTACCTGCTTTTAAACCATTTAAAATTACAATTCATAGTTTTATATGTGAATTATATATGTTAAATTACTATTAAACAAATGACTGACTAAGTATTTTAGGCTTTAGTTTACTTCAGCCATATTCCATATAAATCAGGTATCATACAAACATAAAAATAGCTTCAAATACAGTCGTGACAATAAAAGAATATTGTTGTAATTGTATTTGTAGTTGTATGTAATTGTAGTTGTATGTAATTGTTACACTGATCATTTCATTAAAGATGAAAGAATTTAGACAGTTTTTAACTCTCAGTGATCGTTTGATGTTGGGACCAGAAGCGGAGTTTGGATGGAGAAACAGCAAATGACCTCAGACTTAAAACCCCTGTCTGGCCCTTTAAAAATGCACCCCTTTAGAGCCCTGGGGACCATAAATGGTCCCGCCCCAAAAGTGCAATAAAAAGATTATATATTCATATTTTTTTCCAATTTAAATTGGTCAGTCTTTTAAAACTACTTCTCCCTGAAATATTCATATAAAGTTTTAATTATATTTTCGTTGTTTTAACCCTTTAAATCCCAGTTTTATTACATGAGTGCCCTGTTTTTAGCCCCAAAAAACAAAAAACTAAATATTTTCCAAAAAAAACATTTGAAGTAATATTTGTTTGTTATTATAATTAGGCCTTTAGATGGACTAAAGATTGGCACCAACAGTCATTTCGATTGCCTTTTATTTTTTTTTTCAGGACCAGAAAATGGTCTCCAGGCGGCAAATGCTCCTCCTCTAGGCCGAAATAGGTGCATGTTGCCGGGGTAAGTCGCGACGATCACCGGGGCACGATCACCGGGGACTGCTTTTTCCAGCCCACACGTCCGATACCACGTGACAACAAATACGTCATTTCCTGTTGACTAAAAAAGATAAATGCACCCTCTCATGGTCCTAGGGACCAAAAAATGGTCCCGCCCGATCAGCGGGCGAAGCCGCTGCTGCACGCCGGAAATGAGGCTTCATTTTCCGCAGGTCTGTCCAAGCAGCCCGCTGTTTTCCAGCAGGGATCAAATGTGGAGCAAGGGCGCCACCCGGTGGACAAATAAAAAAATTACAACTCTAAGGCTCATAGACCAAAACGAAACGGACACATAAGTAATCACCAAGACATTAACGGTAATAATTCTGCAGTGAAAAATAGCGTTTATAATGGAAGTCAATGGGGACCAAAAATGGTCCCTAGGGCTCTAAGAGGATGTGTATCGTTAGCTTAGCCACTGAAGCTAATTTAAGGAAGTCAGACTTGAATTTTGAAATGAAATTATGCCAAACTTTTTTTTAGAGAATTTGGCTATATTCTATTCAACACAGTGCAAATGGCTTGTACCTGAAAACTAAAGGACCATTATGGTCCCAGGGCCTACAGACCAGTGGTTTAAAAACTGCTCCAGCCACTGGAGCCAAACCGAGTATCATAGCGAAAGATAATTAACTAAAATGGAAAGTTTATGTCATGTTAAACCTAAATAACGACTCTTTTCAAAGTAAGTCAGCAACATATTCCTGACTTATCTGGATACAGTGGACACCATTTAACAAATAAATTAACAATTCTTTCTAAACAAAATCACTGAGTGTTTTGAAAAACATTATCTAATAAAAAAAATCTAAAGTTTTGATATTTACCACAGAAATTGTGAAGGCAGCTTCTCCAACTCAGAGTCAAAACCAGAATGAAGCCTTAAAAAAGTCTAATGTCTGCTCTTGCGTCTTATTTTGCCCTCCTTTTCGGGTTCTTGCTCCCACAATGCATTGCATAGTTGAAGAATACAGAAAAATACCTGTAAATGACTCAGTGATGGGAATAAACAGCATTACAAGTAACGGCGTTACTTTTTTTAGTAACGACGTATCAACTAATTACTATCCCTATCGTTACAACACCGTTACAGTTACTAACAAGAAAATGCGGTCCGTTACTATTTTTCAACAAACAGGCGGTTGAAGCTGTGTTCAGTTTACTGCATCTTATATCAGTTGCAGGAAGTAGCTGTAAGTCATCTGGGCGCTGCAGCTTTAAGCAGCTGCGCTCCCTGTGTAGTAGTTAGTGTGTTGTCTTGTGTAGTTAATGTGTTGTCTTGTGTAGTTAGTGTGTTGTCTTGTGTAGTTAGTGTGTTGTCTTGTGTAGTTAGTGTGTTGTCTTGTGTAGTTAGTGTGTTGTCTTGTGTAGTTAGTGTGTTGTCTTGTGTAGTTAGTGTGTTGTCTTGTGTAGTTAGTGTTGTCTTGTGTAGTTAGTGTGTGTCTTGTGTAGTTAGTGTGCTGTCTTGTGTAGTTAGTGTGCTGTCTTGTGTAGTTAGTGTGCTGTCTTGTGTAGTTAGTGTGCTGTCTTGTGTAGTTAGTGTGCTGTCTTGTGTAGTTAGTGTGCTGTCTTGTGTAGTTAGTGTGCTGTCTTGTGTAGTTAGTGTGTCTTGTGTAGTTAATGTGCTGTCTTGTGTAGTTAATGTGTCTGTCTTGTGTAGTTAATGTGTTGTCTTGTGTAGTTAGATGTGTTGTCTTGTGTAGTTAGTGTGCTGTCTTGTGTAGTTAGTGTGCTGTCTTGTGTAGTTAGTGTGCTGTCTTGTGTAGTTAGTGTGCTGTCTTGTGTAGTTAGTGTGCTGTCTTGTGTAGTTAGTGTGCTGTCTTGTGTAGTTAGTGTGCTGTCTTGTGTAGTTAATGTGTTGTCTTGTGTAGTTAATGTGTTGTCTTGTGTAGTTAATGTGTTGTCTTGTGTAGTTAATGTGTTGTCTTGTGTAGTTAGTGTGTTGTCTTGTGTAGTTATGTGTGTCTTGTGTAGTTAGTGTGTTGTCTTGTGTAGTTAGTGTGTGTCTTGTGTAGTTAGTGTGTTGTCTTGTGTAGTTAGTGTGTCTGTCTTGTGTAGTTATGTGTTGTCTTGTGTAGTTAGTGTGTTGTCTTGTGTAGTTAGTGTGTTGTCTTGTGTAGTTAGTGTGTGTCTTGTGTAGTTAGTGTGTTGTCTTGTGTAGTTAGTGTGTTGTCTTGTGTAGTTAGTGTGCTGTCTTGTGTAGTTAATGTGTTGTCTTGTGTAGTTAGTGTGTTGTCTTGTGTAGTTAGTGTGTTGTCTTGTGTAGTTAGTGTGTGTCTTGTGTAGTTAGTGTGTTGTCTTGTGTAGTTAGTGTGTTGTCTTGTGTAGTTAGTGTGTTGTCTTGTGTAGTTAGTGTGTTGTCTTGTGTAGTTAGTGTGTTGTCTTGTGTAGTTAATGTGTTGTCTTGTGTAGTTAGTGTGTTGTCTTGTGTAGTTAGTGTGTTGTCTTGTGTAGTTAATGTGTTGTCTTGTGTAGTTAATGTGTTGTCTTGTGTAGTTAGTGTGTGTCTTGTGTAGTTAGTGTTGTCTTGTGTAGTTAATGTGTTGTCTTGTGTAGTTAGTGTGTTGTCTTGTGTAGTTAGTGTGCTGTCTTGTGTAGTTAGTGTGTTGTCTTGTGTAGTTAGTGTGTTGTCTTGTGTAGTTAGTGTGTTGTCTTGTGTAGTTAGTGTGTTGTCTTGTGTAGTTATGTGTTGTCTTGTGTAGTTAGTGTGTTGTCTTGTGTAGTTAGTGTGTTGTCTTGTGTAGTTATTAGTGTGTTGTCTTGTGTAGTTAGTGTGTGTCTTGTGTAGTTAATGTGTGTGTCTTGTGTAGTTAATGTGTTGTCTTGTGTAGTTAATGTGTTGTCTTGTGTAGTTAGTGTGTTGTCTTGTGTAGTTAGTGTGTTGTCTTGTGTAGTTAATGTGTTGTCTTGTGTGTGTTGTCTTGTGTAGTTAGTGTGTTGTCTTGTGTAGTTAATGTGTTGTCTTGTGTAGTTAGTGTGTTGTCTTGTGTAGTTAGTGTGTTGTCTTGTGTAGTTAGTGTGTTGTCTTGTGTAGTTAGTGTGTTGTCTTGTGTAGTTAATGTGTTGTCTTGTGTAGTGTGTGTTGTCTTGTGTAGTTAGTGTGTTGTCTTGTGTAGTTAGTGTGTTGTCTTGTGTAGTTAGTGTGTTGTCTTGTGTAGTTAGTGTGTGTCTTGTGTAGTTAGTGTGTTGTCTTGTGTAGTTATGTGTTGTCTTGTGTAGTTAGTGTGTTGTCTTGTGTAGTTAGTGTGTTGTCTTGTGTAGTTAGTGTGTTGTGTGTAGTGTTGTGTTGTGTGTCAGAACAATGAGGCGACTGCTGTCTCCAGGTAGAAACAGCAGCGACACACCTGCTGCTGTCAGACCTGCAGGTATCAGGCTGTGATGTTTCCTTTATAGTGGACAGAAATATTTGCAGTGGCACAAATAATTTGTGGCATCTTATTGAAGAACAGCTGATTGTTCTGTAAACAGTTTGAAATGGTTATTAAAAAAGGGTAAAAGGTAAATGGCTGCAAATAACTTTGTTGTTTGCAAAACTTGTGCATGATTTTAAAATTGACAATTTATATTTGCATTTAAAGTTATGAAATATGATTCATTAAACATGTTTGTGGTTGTTACAGTAAAAAATATAACTTTTACTCAAATTTTATGTTTGTTGTCTGATTTTAGATCAATTGTGTTAATACAGTATGTCAAAAGAAAACATGACTGTAGATTCAGACACGTGAGGTTGTGCTGAAAAGAATGAGACCAAACAAGACAAATAAACAGTTTTTAAAGTGAAATGTGGAGGAAACATCAAAAGTAGTTAAAAATGGACAATATACCCTGGACCCCAGAGGGTTAAACGTTTTTTTAAAGTAACACAATAGTTACTTTTCAAGTAATTAATTACTTTTAGAATCTGGTAACTCAGTTACTAAGTCAGTTACTTTTTTGAAGAAGTAACTAGTAACTATAATTAATTATTTTTTCAAAGTAACTTGTCCAACACTGCTAATGACTAATACGGGAAGCACAGCATTAGACGGGCCGACTTTCTTCTGGCTGTAATAAGAAGATGTCAGTCATAAACTCTGGGTAAAGGGCGGACTTTAGAAAAGGACGTGTCCTGCAGAAACAGTCATAACATGGATGTTGGTCACTGCGCAGTCCAGTCTTTATTACTCAGTCCCAGCAGACCGCTTCCAAAACCCGATCACTTCCTGTTTCAGTCCAAACAAACAGCCGAGCGCACGGTGGGCGGTCCTTCCTCCTCCTGATCATGCTTCCTGCTCCATTCTCCCAACGACTCCTGACAGAAAACAAGTCGGCTGCAATCTGCCACTTTAAAAATTTATAGCATGAAGTAAAGTGTTGCGTGGCTTCTCTTATTACTCCTCTAAAGTTATGGTAAAAAGAGAGTCAGCTGATTCAGAAGGACCCGGCGTCCTGCTCAGTGTGGAGCCGGACCTGTCAGTGTTCATTAAGATGTCATACTGTCAATAAGAGACGATAAATAAAAAAATAAGGCTCCAGCATCCGCGTTCACGTTGGTGTTCATGTCCAAAAATGTGAGTTCCTCTAACGTCCACAGTCAAACAGAAAGACCTTCATCCTGTGGAGGTTCTTCTTCCATTTACTTCAACAAAAGAAAGTTTTTCATTAACAGGAAAGAAGAGATTTGAACACTGAAGACCAACATTTTCCTAAACATCCAACAAACTGTGTTTATGGGAGAATTTGATTGTGTCTGAAAGCAGAAGGTAGGAAAGTTCTCTCAACCAGTGTCACATTCAGGCTCACAAACACTTTTACTGTTTCCTAACACTTTGTGTGACAGACTGTTGGACCTGAACAGGTGCGTCTACCTTCCACATCTTCTCTCTCCCAGAATCTCTCAGGTACTCCAGCAGCTGCTCTGAGGCAACTGCTTTTGTGATGCAATACAAATAAAACTGGATTGCACTGGTGCACTCTGCCTGTGTCCCTGCTCCCTACTGTCAAATTAGCTTTAGTTGCTGCACTGTGAATAGCTAGTACCAGCTCATAACAGCTAGTAACCAATCTTAACTGTGCTGACTCAAGCTGTGGACACAGAGCTTTGAAAAAGCGTCTTTTTCTTTTCAGGACCTGCAAACTTGTTGAAATGGCTGCTTGTGTATTAGCATTTAGGTTCTTCATGTATGAACTCTCAGACTCTTTCCTGGACTTGCCCCTCTGTCTAATCCAAGGAAACAACTCCAGTCCACCTCTCAGCAGGTCACAGCTAAGCTGTCGACAGCCGGGTTTAGTTTTAACCACATGTGACTTGTAGAAACTAGAGGATCTTACTTTTCAACTAAAGCCTCGTCCATTCTGGACATCAGACGTTTTTCTGTGAAACCTGCTGCACACAGGCAAAGGTTCAGTAAAAAGAGGTGGAAGCTGAATAACCCCCACCCTAGATGAAGCACCACTACCCTGGTGGATGTTAAAGGGTTAAAATACTGCCTCTGATTCCTGGTGCCTTGCTCTTGGGTGACTGTTACACCATCAGCGCTGCAGTCAGGAGCCCAGTGATCTGAGCAGCAGAGCAGTACGTACGGACAGACTGCAAACTTTCACCTAAAACACAGAAGCTAAAAGCTTTTTAAGAACGTAGTGAAACCTGCAGATGTGACTCCTGTTTTCTGTCTTTGTACTCGGCTGTAACTCAGACAATACTGACTCAGCACAGAAGCATTTATATCAATCATCACTCACATTGACAGAACACACAAAGAGCGATGCTGATAATCGCCACGATGACGGTAATGATGACGATGACAGCGATGCCACCTTTAAAAAAACACAATAAAAAGAGCGTGGTGTTAGTTTTACTGATCACGTCTGTCGGTGTGCAGAGGCTTGTTCTGCTCCGAGGACACAGCAGAAGAAACAAAGATGACTGAGCCTTCTAGAAACATTTGATCAGATTATCCTGATGCCCTACAGGAGAACATCGGTGTTATTGTTAGTGAGTCTACATCAGGGGTGTCCAACTCCAGGCCTCGAGGGCCGGTGTCCTGCAGGTTTTAGATCTCACCCTGGGTCGACACACCTCAATCACATGAGTAGTTCTTCACCAGGCCTCTGGAGAACTTCAGGACATGTTGAGGAGGTCATTTAGCCATTTGAATCAGCTGCGTTGGACACGTCTAAAACCTGCAGGACACCGGCCCTCGAGGCCTGGAGTTGGACACCCCTGGTTCCATCATTACACAAGCTGGTATTAGATCAGATCTAACATGAATGTAAAGTTTATTATATCTAATAAAAATGTACAATAAGAATAAATAAAGTTTGGCAGTTACACTCTGTGACCTGAGCTGGTGTTTCGTGGTCCTTGTGACTTTAACAGTGAGATATTACTGGCTTTTAAGTACCTGTAATAAAAGTCCCGGCACGTGAGACATCTTTAGTTGTTGTCCGACATTCGCCCGAGGTGGGATTACAAATTCTGCACGTTACAGTTTTTAATCCGCTGATGTTGGCTTTGCTGAAGACGCTGAATGTTCCATTCCTGGTGTTATTATCAGTCTTTACTTCCAGTGGCTCCAGGATGGTTTCATTCCCCTGGTCGTCTGTGGAGAGCCACGTCACCTCAGGTTCAGGATAGCCCCCCGCCGTGCTGCAGGTTGCTGAGGCCTGGCTTAGCTCGATGTTTGGTTCCTGGAAGACCGCTGGAAACAAGTCACAAGCAGTTTAGCAGGATGTTTTGGACTGTACAAATGTGTTTGAGCATGTGATTAATTTATCAGCCTGTGATGACCCACAGGAGTTAACGGCTTCTGTGGGTCGTCACAGGCTGAGGACCCACAGACGTCTGTAGTTCACAAAAACATCCAAGCATCCAAACCCGGTCTGGTCCTTTCACAGGAAACAGTATAAGACACGTCATTCTCTTCATTTCTGGTCAATTTTGTACCTTTTTGATTATTTGTGGGTCAATTTATGATTTCAACATAATGTAACATGATGCAGCGTGCACTGTTCACCCCACCTGCCTCCACCTGGAATTTTACACCTGTGTGAGTCCAAATTGATGGTGAGGAAGAAGGATATCAGTGAGTCTAGAGATCAGATTACACTTTAGTTTTTAGCTCTAACTTATTATTTTTTCATGTTGTTATTTTTAGAAACTCACACAGATTTTTCTACAGAGGTCCAAACCTGAACAAGAGTATCTAAGATTTTACTTTAGCTGGTTGTGCTGAGGAGGAAAAAAGGAACGTTAATCAGCTTTTGTTTTGCAGAGAGAAGTATACAGACCTGCTACATGCAGGGTCTTCTGACAGATATTCTCCTTTGAGTCATCTGAAATAAAAACAACTTCAATGAAGGTCCCATCGTGGTCCAGCATCAGGTTTCTAATCAGGAGAGAGAAATTTCCATCCTCTAATTGAGAAAGGAAGATTGCAGTCCTGTTCTGAAAGGATGAGCTTTGATAAAGAAAGTCTTCTTCTCCCTTCACATAGACGTGGGCCACAGTGGGGTTGCTGCTGCCGTCCATCCCCTGCCAGTAGATGTAAGTTTGCTCACGGACAAACCTCTTAGTAAGTTTGTGCATGCACGGCCAAAGGAGCGTCTCTCCAATGCTTCCATTGATGGTTTGGCACCAGGCTGGCAGCAGCAGAGGTGCAAGGAGAACTGTGACGAAAGACAAAACGATTCATTCATTCCAAATGAGCAAATTCAGCGCATTCATCAAAAACAGGCACAGGTCAAAGTTCACCTGACCCCATGAGGCTCAAGCAGAGTCGAAAAGGCCTTTAATGTTCACTGCTAACATGATGGAAACTGACTTTGTACATTTAAGCTTTTCCAGTCTTTTCCTGTTTATTGAAATGTCGCCCAGACCACAAGTGACTGAAAGAATGAGAGAACAGTCTAAAATGTTCGCTGACGTGCAGTCTGCTGCCATCCTGGCTGAGCAGCAGACTGTCAGTCTGAAGTTTGTTCACTGGTATTGGTTGTTATTCAATTTTGCACCAACCAGGGAATTGTGGGGCGGGGTGTGAAGTTGACCTCGTAGAGAGCAACTACGCGAGATGTGGAGAGAAACCCAACAGATGTACAGCAAACGAGCAGGTGAGAACTGTAAGAGTACTGAAGAATACGTTCCTGTTGGTGAATTCAGAGCTCGGTTTGAAGGTGATGAATACTTTGAGATTAATTATTTCAAATGCATTTGTTTCAAACTGTTTCTGTCAGTGTATTATTGTATTACTAATAACAGCATGTTAGTGGCTAGCAGTGTTAGCACAGGTACCACCTGTAGCTGTGTGTTACTATGGTAACGTGTGCTGATGTTGTAAGTCATGAAAAGTTGAAATGAGTTTAAAAGCGTCATTGAGTGAATGGACTGAGTGTGCTCCCTGGAGTACAGGGCCAGGGGAGGTTTTCTCCTGGGTGAGCACAGACCAGCCCAGATGTTGACTTCCTCTGTGGGAGTTTGGTCGCTGTCGCTTCTCATCCTTTGCTTTGTGGTTGCAGTAAAACAGTGTGAGAGTATTCTGCTGTCTGAGATACTGAGACAGTCTTTCCTTAAGTGATTGTGATTATTCAAAGTGTTTGCAAAGGAACTGACACGGACATTTATTTAATATAGTTATTTTGTTTAGTCTGAAACCTCATTTCTCTTTCTTTTAACTAAAGTCCCTTATTTTGGTGTTTGAGTGTTGTTGTGTGTGAGTTTGTATCACACGTCAGGTGTTTGTGAATAGCCTGACTCACTGTTTCAGTGAGGCGTAACCTGTTACCTGTTACATACCTGCTGTCTGATTTCACTGCAGGGTTTCTGATTAAATCTGTTTATGATTTTTTTGCCTGGGTTTACAACCATTACTTAAGATTATAGTCCGTCAGTTACAGCTACTACACTGAATTATAGATA